CGTCAGTTATATTTGGGGAGTGTGCATAGGATCTCAGTTTGTGGATGGACAGACGTTTTACCTAATTGAAACATGTTTTCTCTATAAACACTAGATAGAGGATAAAAAAAAATAATAAAGGTGCGGAATATATGTTGGAACGATGATATGTATTCTAATATAGTAGAAAATTGTCGCCTGGGCTGGGAAGGTCAATGGTCACTCGTCTATAACAGCCTGAGACGAACAAAAACCGTTCCGCCAAGTGCCGGAGTCAGACCTTAGCACTTGAGTTATCCGGGATTAATAACCACTATTCAAAATACGTTCCAACATTTGTACTACAATATGAATTGTACCTATAATTGCACTATAGATATAGTTTTTGCAATAGAGCAGCAACAGCGAGGAGCGATAAAAGAAGGGCATGCAATGAAGCAATGAAGCAAATAAAACTTGAGTTTCCTTGACTCTTATCTCGATAGTGAAATATTTCGAATAAATGCGATTGGTGACCCTGCAGCAAAATATAATGTTAGAAATGAAAAAAGAAACAGGAGAGGACGATAAAGTTCTAAGTGGCCCAATGAAATAATCAATACACCAATCATAGACAGAAATCATGGAGCGTGACCAAGATGGAGACCAGTGTAGAGAGTTGACGACATTTTAAGAACAAGCAAAAGACAGTTCGAAAGAACGTCCGGTACCCTATCGCTATGCATTTCTATTTGTATTTGAGATTAACAACTAAGGTTTCTCTCCATGCTCTGTCCAGCTAAGGTTGTAATCTATGCTCTATCTCTGTTGTTAAGAACGAATGAAATATAGTACTAGTATATTTACTTCCAAGTTCCTTTCCGTTAAAGTCAAACCCACAAGGATATTTTGTTTGTTGCACATTAGCAGAGCACTTCTACTTGTATCTTGGTTCCCTTGACGTCATGGCTCAGTGGTCTGAACAGTTGCACTCGAGAACTCACTCGCAACGTGTTCGGCTCTGCCCCTGGGGAGTCGAGCTGCTCGCTACATGAGCCGCACATTATCAGTTTGAGAGCCTTACTCGCAGCTTGACGAAATGTTTTCACAGACGTAGACAGACGACAACCAATCAGCAGATTATTTTATATACAGTGCCCTGACTGTATATCCCACACACAGTAATCGGGTAAACTGCGTTGTTCCGTCCGTTTCTCATGTTAGACCTCTTCTGGGCCGCCATTGGGGCAAGTGAGGTGTCTGTCGAGTCGTCACACCAGCGACTGTGCAGAACTGACATCATTTTCTGGATTCTTTCCGAGCATCCTAAACGAATTTTCGAGAAACGCGTTTCTGGAGGTTTAAGGTCTCTACATCGGTGACAGTAGCTCATTTGATTCTTCTGAACATGAATCAAATGGCACCACTTTTAGGTGAGTCCTTCCAGAATATTCTGGAAAAAATTTGAACAAAAACAATGTTTATGTTGGGGAGATTACAGACCCTACAGAAATGAAATTCTGTTAATTACTCTGAATCAAATTGCTGCTTTCAAGAAAGCCAATAATTACACTTTCTTTCCGGCAGGATGTAATGAATCGCTACGAGTTGATTTATCGCATTGATGTAAACGAAATCAAATCTTGTAATGAAACATTTTGTAAGTAAGCTATTACAATCGATTCTTTTCATTTAACTATTTCTGTGTAAAAATGGACGAGCAAGGTGACTATAAGTTCAAAATTTCGTTTAATGAACTTACGTAACAAATAAAATTTGTCAGCAAGCAAATGGCCGTTGGAAGGGCCACGCTAAGCTAATTTGCTTTAACGAACAAGCGAAGTAATTACAAATGCAGCAGAAGACTGGTGATCTGTCAATATTACAACATACGCGAGCACAATTCGAGGGCTTTCACATAATAGCTCTGTCTTAGCTTGGTGCCACCTGGACATTTCTTTTAGGAAGCCTCCCTCTCGAAGCCACGTACTTCTTGAATTGATCGTCCGCCAGAGCCTATTATTAATCATAATATGAAAGCGCACGTATGCTAACAAATCGTGCACAGAGAATTTAATTTTATATTTTTGTCCTGAATACTTGTTGCTCATAAATCACTTTGCTTAAAAAATTACAGATATGCATTGGGTAAAATGCATTTGTTTAACGTCATCCTTGTTGGTAGACCCACTATTCGCCCATTCCCATTAAAGACAATTTCATTTTTGTCAGAATTGAGCTAATTGTGGTTTTCCTTCAGGAAACGTGAAACCGATATCCACAATTAGTTGTTTTTCATTACGCATCTAAAGGGAAGTTAGAAGGTTATGGATTCGTCACACCGTTAACAATCGAGGAATATTTTGCCGTGACCCGGCATCATTTCTCGTTACACAATATACCATTGTTTCAGAATTCTTTAAACTCAAGTGTCTGACTCAGCTGAAACGCCAAGATCTACGGAAGAAAGAACGAACATTTCCCAAGAGGAGTCACAAATAAACACATACACCATTATGACCTCTCATTTTTTGTCAAGTGCGGTCATCGCCTCGCAACATTTGATTCGACTTATCTGGTATGTCGATACCAAAAACTGAACAAAATACAAATTCAATAAATATATACTTCAAAATACTACTTCAAGGAACACTGGCGGGCCCAGAGGAAGGGAAGGAGCCATGCCTTAACTCCTAAACCAAATTTTTTGTAAGTTTACTCCATTTATTGAAAATAATAATCAGATTTAGATCTCACCACACCCAAAGTAGTAATCCCATTATGAATATATTAATACTTTTTTCAGTCCATGCTAACAATAAATAATACGAGTACTATTTCATATACTCGTATTTATCGGGTCATTAGCTACAATTGCCCCCTGAAATCCTTTATGGATCCGCCGTTGGCCAGAACGGCGTTCGCATCCGCCTCCGCTGCAGCGTATCGCACGCGCGCGCGCCTGGGCCGCCCGGCACCGGTTGTGGGGAGTGAAAGTGCGGATCGGAAGCAAACAAGTGGCGCAAGCTGCGGCCACCCCTCGCCCCCCCCCCC